GGGCAGCGCTGGCCACGCTGGCCGTGCCGCTGGGCGGCCGGGGGCTGCCGCGCCGTGCCGGCACCCGCAGCTTGCCCAGCCGGGGCTTTCCCGGCCGCGGCTTCCCCGGCGGCTTGCCCAGCCGGGAGCCTTCCACCAGCAGCTTCATGCCCACGTAGTGCGGCACGGCCACGGCCGCCTGCGGAGGACACGGGGGGACATAGGGCATCCTGGGTGCCCAGCCAACGTCACTGCAGCTGCCAGCCCCATCCTTCCGTGCCATCAGGAACGCAGACGGCCGGGAGCCTAGCGTCCCCACAGGGTCCCCCCTTCGAGGTCCTTCAGCCCTGTAGTCCTCTTGGCTTCTTGCCCACGAAAGTGCCCGCCTGCTGCCACACACCCCCTTTTTGCTGCTGCTGGGATTCCTGCATCAATGTGGGAGCCCCACGGGGAGCCCGCGCCGCCCGGGCGCCGCTGCACGTCCCAGCCCCGGTGAGCACGCGCCGGCCGGCGCCCTGCAGCCCTGCTCACCTGCTTGTAGATGAGCTCGAAGGCGCCCGTGGGGCAGTTGCGGTCGGCCTTGCGGTCGATGACGACGCGCAGCGTGTCCCGCTGCACGCCGGCGCACAGCCGGCCCGTGACCGCCGTGGAGGCGGCCATGGTGGGGCTGGCGTTGATCTCCAGCAGCCAGGGCTGGAAGTCCTCGCCGAAGACAAAGTCGGCGCCGTAGAGCTCGAAGCTGCCCTTGCGGGACTGCACGAGGTCCTGCGAGGCCTGCACGGCGCACACGATGGCCGCCTTCATGCCGGGCACCATGACGTCGGGCCAGGCGCGCGCCTGCCCCAGCTGCTCCAGGTAGGCCTGGAACTGCTGCGACGACCACATGTTGTCGGCGGGCAGGCGGGGATGGCGCCCGCGCGCGTTCTCGCAGTGCCTCTGGATGGAGTTGTTGCAGAGGTGCACAGCGCTGCGGGCACAGCGGCCTCAGCGGGGACAGGGACACGGGGACACGGGGACGCAGGGCCGTGTCGGCACCCACGCGTCCAGGCTGCGCAGCGAGAAGGGCTGCGACGAGAAGCGCAGGTAGCTGTCGCGGTAGAACCAGACGGTGAGCGGGTTCCAGTCGGTCACCAGGAACCACTGGCGCACGTCGAACTTGGTGCCGAAGATGAGCAGCGGCCGCTCCACGTACTTCTGCACCACCCACTTGCCGTCGCGGGCCAGCGGCGCGGTGCCCTCGGCCAGCCGCAGCACCTCGTCCAGCCGCGCCAGGCACACGATGCCTGCGAGGGCGGCGCCGTGCCGAGGGCACCGCGCGGCGCTCCGGCCACCTCCGACCGGCGCGTCCCTACCTCGGCCCCGCGACTTGGCGCCGGGCTTCACGATCCAGACGTTGTGCTCGCCCTCCATGTGGAGCTGTGGGAGCAGCGGGGCCAGGCGCCGCAGCACGGCCCGGCTGCGCTCCAGCAGCGCCGCGCACGGCTCCAGCTCGGCGCGCTCGCTGCGGGCGCACGCGGCGCTCGAGCGCGGCTCCCCGCGCCCCTTCCACCGCCGCCGCCTCCCCCGGCACTCACTGCACCAGGCGGTAGTAGCCCTGCAGGAAGCGCTCCCAGCAGGGGCCCGCGGGCCGCGGGGACGAGCCGGGCTCGCCGTCGAGGTCCTGGTGCCGCAGGCTGCGCAGGTGCTCGCCGCACGCTCGCAGCGCCTCCTCCAGCAGCTGCGCGGGCACGCGGGGCTTCGGCGCGGCGCCCGCTGCGAGGGGCACGGCGTGAGCTTCGCGGCAAGCTTTGCATTGAGCTTTGCATCAAGCTTTGCAGCTCGCATACGGGGCAAGCGCCCGGGCTTGCAAAACCGCGTGGTGGCATCGAGGCCCGTCCGTGCCGAGGCCGCACGCTCACCCGGCTCGTCGGCGGGCGCCGGGGGCTGCGCCTGCGCCCGCCGCAGCGCCACTTTGAGGAGGCTGCGGGCAGCGGTGAGCCGGAAATCCTCTGCGGGAGCGGGGCCGTGAGCGCCCGGCGGGGCCCGGCGCGGCGCCCGCGGCACCACGCTCACCGATGAACGCCTGCTTCTCGTCCGCGGCGCCCAGGCGGTAGCAGCGCGGGAAGAAGGTGTCGGCGTCGGCGCCGTCAAACCAGTGCAGGTTGCGCAGGTTGAGGCACAGCCCGGCCTGGGGGCGGCAGGGCGGCGGGCAGCAGCGCGGGCGCCCAGGGGTGCCCGGCGCCCCGCGCGCCCCGCGCACCTTGGTGGTGAAGGAGCCCGCCCTGGCGAAGTGGTTGAGCACCTGGTCCTTGCGCAGCGCGCGGAAGTCCACGGCGTCGCGGCGGCTCGTCCAGATGAAGTAGGGCACCTGGTTTCGCACCAGCTGCGACTGCGGGCGCCGCGGGCGTGAGAGCCCCGCGGGCGCCCAGCGCCCCACTCGCCCAGACCTGAGCCGCAGCCCAGCGCCGTATCCATGAGAGGCGCCCCGTGATCCCGCAGCGAGGGGATCCCACATGTCCCGGGCAGCCCCTTCCCCCTGCAGCTGCCCCGGCTGCCAGGGACGTCCCCTCCTGGCGCAGCCACCCTGCTGACCATGAGGCTGTAGGTGCCACCAGGGTCCTCGTCCTGCGGCTCCTCCTCATCCTCCTCGCCCTCCTCCTCTGGGGAAGGGAGGCAGTCAGCCGAGCCCAGCACATCCCCACCGTGGGGACCCCCAGGGCCACGGCCATCACATCCCTGTCTCCACCAGGGCCGAGGAGCATCCCCTTCCAGGACACAGGGCTCTCCCTTGGGAAGCTCGTGCTCCACGGGGAGCTGGGCACAGAAAGCGCCTGCCCCGGCCTCACCTTCCTCGGCAGCATCGCCGCCGCCTGCCTGGTGGGCACCGTGCGGGCGCTCGGGCCGCCGCGCCGCCTTGCAGCCCCAGGGGAGCTTCTTCTCCACCCAGCCGCGCGCCCGCAGCAGCCTCCGGATCACGGGGTAGGGCCCTTGCAGCGCAAAGATCTTCTTTTGCTGCGGAGGAGCCGGCGGCGCTGGGCAGGGGCCGTGCGCGGGCGGGCAGCGCCGCGGCGGCGCCGGCGCTCACCTTGACCGCCCTGTCCACGTGCAGC